GACCGTCCCAGCGGGACACTCCCTAAGACTTCCTCGGTCCCTCTATCCTTGCAGTGAAGAATCTGGGTGCGACTGTGGGCTCCGACCCTTACTGCGTACTGCGTAGAAGTTAGCGGGCAGACAGACAGGGTCAAGGTCTCTAGGAAACATGCCACCGGAAGCTAAAACCGCGAGACCTGTCGTGCCACCCTGGCTCCCTTTCGAGCAATGCTGCGAGACGTATTCGCTGTCGGGTGTCTTTGAAATCTTCAGTGTTGGAGTCGCAAAAATGGTGACAGCGAGAAATTTGCAAATGCGACACGGCGCCTTATTCGTGGGACATTGTTGCTCCCCTAAAAGTTCCTTCGGCCAGGCCAGAATCAAAAGGCAAGAGGTCACAAGCAATTCGTACCGTATGGGGCAGGGAACATCCCACGGCGGGCCACCGTTCCTGCTTTCCCCGTTTCTTGCCCAAGGTATGCGTACCTTCCATCTTCCATACCTTACCTTACGGACACCTTATTACTTAGGAAGGAGGACTGAGAAGGCCGAGAGACCGCTGGCTCCTTCCCGGTGATTCTTTTCCCTCGCTCGGCCGGGTGACTTGTCTGCATTGTAAAGCCAAGCCGAGCGAGACTTCCTCCCATCTTTTCCCCCCAAACATGCAGTGCCTTCGTGTCTCGTTGTCGCCAAAAATGGGGGAGGGATTAAGGAAATAGCAAGATAACATGGTACATGACAGAGTACGGGTCTGTGTACTTGTCGCCATGTCACTACTTTACTGTTCCGAGTCCTCCTTCACGCCAACTCGCTCAAGGATGAGGCACAGAATGACTTGTCGATGACTTGTAACTCATCGTCGCCTTCGTTCACGCATCCACATTCCCCAAGAGGCAGACCGTCCGTCCATTTGGGCGACTCACGCCTCTGGCGGTGGCCTGGCCTCTCGCCAGCCATACGGAAAACCCTGTCGCTCCTCCTCCCTCTCCAACCCATCCATCCCGTCTTGTCCAATCTTTTGGGGTTCTGAGGGAGAAGACCATACAGCAAGCAGCTGGTATTAGTGGGCACCGTAAGGCATCTTGGGTCAAGCAGGGGGGATGGCAAGTACTTCTGAGTTGTACCCAAGGGAAGGTAGCAGTGCAGGGCCGGTTGTTCCAATTCCAGTCGTGTGGTGTCGTACCGCCTGGGGTCCTTCTGTAGGTAGGTACTCTGTATACCTCACTACGTACCTCAGGTACCAAAGTATCCTGAGCTGGACGACTTTCCCCGTCTCTGCCGTCGCTGCCTCTGCCATCTCCGATCCCCGTCCTACGTCTTCCCTGCCCGTCCGCGCCAGAGCTGCCCACCCTCCGTTAAGAAGCAAACCACCTCCCACCCGTCGCGCCCCGACCCCCAGCATCACGTATTACTCTTTCCGTCCCTGCACTTTTTTTTATTGCTCTCATCGGACTGCCCTCCTGCCTGATGGCTATATTCTTGCACTTGTATCATATCCACGAACTCTTGATCATACTCACTTTATAATCACTCTCACATCTCAACTCCTTTCCATCCCCAACCGCCTCGGAATCATACACCCCCTGCTTTATCCAACCGGCCCCATCGCCTCAGGTCCTCATCGGAAACCAACACCCTGGCTTCACGTCAAACACACGTTATTGCCCAATCCTTCACCAACCTGCACAATACTTCACGCCCTCTTCCCCCAATCTCTGGAGCCCAATCTGCCAGCTCACTTGCTCAGAGGCCTTGTTCCATTTGGATTATATGAAGCCTTGCTCCCTCCCCTAGCAATCCTGGCATACAGACACAGCTCTCTACATTGTATAACTTCAACAATACTCCTCTCTCAACCTCGAGTCTCCCCTCCGGCTCAACCAGCACAACACACAATTACATATCGCCATGTCACATTCATATCGGAAAAACAGCTCCAAGAGCTCGACAAGTAGCCGAGACTTCCGCAGGAGTAGCGAATCTTGCGACTCATACGAGACGTATGAATCACAGAGCACAACACCCACTTCTTACTATGCGAGCACCGAAGCGTCATCAGTCAAAGAAGCTAGGACCGTCTCTAACAAGATCCCGCCCGTCTACGAGGAAGACATATCCCCTTCTACTAGTAACTGTTTGAGGTCTTCCGTCGACACTTTCGACTCAAGTTTGGCTTCGGACGACGAAGATGAGCTTGAGCTTCAACGGGAAGCCGAACTAGACAACTTCGACAAGCACCGCGACATCCCGCCTTTGCCTACCTACTACCGTGATATCATCGACACTGATGTACGGCCATCCACACCCCAGGACTTTGGCAAACTGTTCCCATCCATGAACAGGTTATCTATCTGCCACGACGAATTTACCCCGGACGGCAACATGAATCTCAGAGTAGACACCGTCGCCCCCGGTCGCCGCCCCTTCAACATTCAGCTCTTCCACCTGCGCATGTACGACCTCAGCAAGCGTGAGTTCTCGCTCCGACGTTACTGCCGCGAATCCGGCCGCGAAGTCTGCAACTCCAAACGCAAGTACGTTGAGGAAACCAACCAAGAGCGACCAACCCTCCAGCGATCCGTCTCAAGCGCCATCAAGACCCTCTCCATGAGGAGACCTCCTCTGTCGCGCACCAACTCGGGCGGCTCAATCTTCGGAGGCAAGGGCAAGGACGGAGCTTCGCAGCGCCCACAGTCCAGCTCTTCGTCTATGCGCACTTTTGGCGACGACGCGGCAAGTTTCAAGCGTTCAGCCTCATTTGAAGCGAAATCCAAAGCTCGACCGGTTCCCAGCAACACCATGAAGCTCGAGTTCTCCAATTATGCGCGCGTCGACGTGTCACGCCGCGGCGGTGCCAACAACAAGCGCTACGAGTTTGACTGGTGGGGTCACAAGTACCAGTGGAAGCGTGTCACTGACAAGAACCTCGGTGTCGTCTCTTTCCACCTCGTCAAGGACGGCAACAACGACGCCCGCGATGCCGTTGCGCACATTGTCCCCGAGACACGTTCGCCCAACCAGGTTATTGAGGATGAAAGTGCCGGTGGCTGGGTGCCCCCTTGCCACATGTGGATCAGCGATCGCAGCGTCCTTGACGCCGTCACCGACGTCGCCGATGTGATTATCGCCACCGGCCTCATGGCCCTTGTTGACGACTGCATCAAGACCCGCTGGCAAACGAAGAAGTTTACCCGCATCCCGGTGCCCATGACCTCCCGGTCTGTCGACGTAGAGCATGTAGGCCCCAAGGCCTTTATGCAACACCTCTTCCAGCGCCGCCCCTCTGATCAAGCTTCAAGTCCATTGCGACAACGTCCGATTTCGACTTATTGAGATGAATGCAGGAGGCGTCATTTTCTGATCAACTCTTATTTTCTTTCATCATTGGAAACCCAAACTTATCACTTTGTTACGGATTTCTCATCTCTTGCGGGGGACAAAAAAGAACCAAAAACAAGCACATTTTCGGATGGAAGATCCAAATCGACTTGAGATCGACTTACACAGACTCCAAGAAGGGAGCAAAACACAAACAGCGGATCATGCGCAGCACATACAGAACAGAACAGGAAACAACACACAATGACAGCAATGTGGATATGATGGGCAGGACACGGTACCATGGGGACAATTCCTCCCGCTCACAGCATGGAGTGGAATGGCGTTTTGGACTCCCCCTTTCTTTCTTTTTCTTTTTTCTTCTTCTTCTTCTCTTAAGAGTGTGTGCATCAATCTCTCTGTATGTAATTTCTTACTTTTTTCCTTCCATGGAAGATGCATCAAACAGGCGCTGGACTGGAAACCCCCCCAAGAGCTGGGATGGAATGGATGAATTGGATGAATTGCGAAAGCAAGCAAGCAAGCCCTGTACGAATCGAAACGACTACCTTCGAAACCTCTTCCTTTCTGGATTAGGTATTTCGTAAATATGAATAAAGGCACAAAGATGCATCATTGCCTCGATTCTGATTTTGCTCAAACTACCTCATTGCGCACGACTGAAGAAAATGTTCCACGGTCATGTTGGTGTCAACGCCCACTGCTAATGCTCGATGCTCTGAAGAAAAAAAAATGACAGAAGGAAGAACACACGCTCGCACAAGCTCGATTACACGACGGACAAGAACACTGAAGCTTTCCCGCCGCGAGTGGAACGGGTTACCCATCGTCAATGTCACACCACACGACTCCACTCCCCATCGTGAGATTTCGGTACGACGCCAAGCCCAGCCGAGAACGTCCCCCCCCCCCCCCCCCCCCCCCCCCCCCCCCCCCCCCCCCCCCCCCCCCCCCCCCCCCCCCCCCCCCCCCCCCCCCCCCCCCCGCCCCCCCCCCCCCCCCCCCACCCCCCACCCCCACTCGTCCCCCCCCCCTCCCCCCCCCCTCCCCCCCCCCCCCCCCCCCCACAAACGACACCGACCTGGCGACACCAGCTCCGCTCTGGCGTGACCCATGACGTTCCCCCGGTCCGTCCCGCCGGTAACAAAATGCCAAACTTTCCCTGTGCCGTTTACACCACTTCGCTGGGTCCCGGCCGGCCGAAAAATCACCCCACCACCGCTGCACAAAACACGTTCTCTGCCTTTCCCACCTTGACAGCGGAAGGTGGAAGAAAGGAAGGTGGAAGAAAGGAGGGCGTACAGAGTGTTGTGGAAGAGCTTCCTCGCTTGTCTAACCGAGCAGAGGAAGTGACATCTCACCACCACCACCACCACCACCACCATCGTAATTTTGCAGACGGTCACCCGGAGTGCCATGAACGGTCTTTGTGTTCCCCGGTTTTCTGGGGCGATTTCAAGATTCGGATTTATGACGGAATGTGTCCCTTTCCATCGTCGTACTATCTTTCTCCGCTCTGTTCCGTGGTCTTCATCGGAATTGGGGGTGTTTCGAGGAACCCTCTCCACAGCATCTGCCCTTTGCGGGGGTGGCAACAGGCTTTGTCCATCCCACATGTGTCGTGTGTATAGATGTGCGTGTTGCAAATGCTCGCTCTTTCCGCCAATATCCATCCGCCGCGTTCAGTACTCACTATACACGAAGCCGAAATCATCCTTCCTCTCCCCAAACCACCCCGCCAAATCAAGCTTCATCAGCAACCTCTCCACGCCACCGACCCTCCGCGGCACATACTCCCCTTCCTCTCTAAGAACCCCTTCCTCGCCGCCCTCCTCCTCGTCCGCAAACGCCGCCGGGTCCGCCTCCAGGCTCCGCAACGCAGCAATCACGTCCCGGATCCCGTCCTTGACATGCTTCTCCACGTCGCGGATCGCGGCGCGGACCTCTTTTTCCTCAATCTCGAGGTCCACAAAAGCGTCGACGACGCCCGCGTCCGCTTCGAGGTCCATCGAGGTCCAGACGGCGTGGAGACGCTGCGTCAGTGCGACGAGGTGATCCGTGTGCGTGAGGAGGCTGTACAGCGGGTCCGTGTAGGTGGGAAAGGTAAGGAGGAGGCGGGTGGAGAGGGCGCGGAGGTAGGCCCTGTGGGCCGTGGCGAGACTCTGGGGGTCGTGAGTTGTGGTCGTGGTTGGTTCTGCTCGCTTGAATGACTTTGTCGTTGGCGTGCTCTGAGCTAGCCATATGTCGTCGTCGTCCTCAGCTTCTGCCTCGACCACTGTCGAAGGTTTAGATGCTGCCTTGGTTGATACACCCTGAGGCCCCGTTTCAGTGCCGTCCGTCTCTGCCTTGGGAGTCAGCCAGTCGTGAAAGCCGTCCCATAGGCCAGCCACTACTTCCGTCTGTAAGTATGCCTCCGTCTCGGAGAGAAAGAATATAGCAGAGCTGCATGTCACCCAGGCGCTGCGCAAGGCATTGGACCGCTGCGTATAGCGCTGACGCAGCAGTATCACCTTAGAGCGCCCCGCTCGAGTGCTTCCGGCGGGTGGTCCTGGGGGTGCCGGATGATGCCGGCGTAGGGATGTGATCTTCCACAGCTCAGTGAGACGAATATGTGCTCGGCGAATAGAGAGAAGGTATGAGTTGATGGTGGAATAGATCTGTAAGTCGGAAGGGGTAAGGAACATGTCCATGGGCGAGGGAATCTGCATCGTCAAGACGACAGGGACTGATAAAAGGAGGTTGCGGAAAGGGGTCGTGGCCAGAGTTTTCGTCGCGGGCCGTGATACGCTTGCTTCGAGCTTGAGAGGCACTGCCGGCTTGGACTTTGTGAGAGTCAACCGCAGAAGCTCCCTCGCAATCTCCAACCCCTCGTCTTCGTCCGCGTGCTGTCCCTGCATCAAGCCCATGGCCGCCCATGTCTTGGCCAGCACGGCGGCGACCTCGCCCTCCTTGACGGCAAAGGTGCCGAGGCCTTCTCGCTTCTCATACGCGAGATTGTCGGATCTCTTCCACCTGCTCCGAAGCTTCTCGTCAGCCTGCTGCGTCAGAGCCATGGCAAATTCGCCGCGGCCAAGAAGGAAGAACTCTCGCAAAACCTGCAGTGCCTCAACAACTTTGGCGAGAGGCAGGAGCTTGAGCAAGATCGTCCGTGAGAGTGTGAGGCGAATCGAGGTAATGGCGCGCGAGAAGCTCGCCGTGTGGAGAGGGTAGGTTAAAGCGGATAGCTCTTTTAGTTGCGAAGACAGGTGATCGAGGCCTTGTAAGCCAGATTCAACACTGCCCTTGACACGGACGTGGTTGAGCGACCTGCCGATGAAGAGCATTGACGATGCCGTTGGTAGGGTTACAAAGTTGGGTAGAAAAGCCGGCACCGAGATGTATTCCTGTCGCGGTCAGTCATGAACCTCACAGTGACCCATTGCCGATGACATACCTGGTCACCTCCCTCCGACTTTTGCACAAAAAAGTCCTCCCCTCCAAAGGTCGGCAATCGTCCGTAGAGGATCCAAGCAGAAACCTGCTTCAGCCAGGCCGTCTCTGCTACGGATACGAGGCTCATAGCCGTCCTCTCAATATCGACATAGCCGCTCTGCAGCTCACTCCTCAGCCTGTCAATCAGCTGTGCCCCGCGACACGTTTGCCCTTGCTGCTTCTTCAGCATAAACTGGACGATCTCCCACAACCATTCCATGCGTCTCGTCCACTCGGAAAACTCCCCCACAACGGCGGTCAATGGCACAATGTTGTAGGCGCCGACAAGACTCGAGTCCTTGCGTAGTATCGTCTCCTCCACATCGAGGACCTTGCGCTGGAAAGCGGCTAGGTGGACGGACTGTATCGCGGTGGCGGTGGCGCGGCATATCGTAGATGGGTGCTCGGCGGCGATGGGGGCGGTGTAGCTCTGCAGTTTGACATGGAGGTCGCTCAGGTGGGCGGCGGTGGCTAGGAGTTCGCGCTCCGGTGGTGAGATTGCCGTTGATAGCGCATTGGGATCTGTGTTGTCGGTTCGGAGGAGAGGGGAGGGGTGCCCAGAGAGGGCGAGGAGGACTTCGTGGAGCATGCCGGCTGTTTGCTTCTAGTGAGGGGAGAGAATCGAGGTGTTAGTCGGGGATTAGGTTACAGACAGGGATTCGATCATGGGTTCAAAGAAGGGGACGGAGGAGGAGGATGTGGCACATTTCGCGTGGTTGCGGCGGCTTCTTGGACCTTGACTTTTCGCCAAAGTCACGGAGAAGCAAGATGAAAGCGCCTAATAGCTCGAAGCGACACATTTACTCGTTTCTCGGTGAGTGGAGGTTGGCAATACGGCGGAGAGGAAAACCGCCGGGTGGATGTCGTCCAGGATTTGGCGGGATGGCGGGGCAGGTTGGCGGGAGGAAGCAAAAGACGGGGAGAGTTGGGCTGCGTTGCAACAACAGGTGACGGATGGTTGGCAAATGGATAAATTACCTGATGTGTTTGGGCTGCATAGAACTAAGGCATCGTGGCACGAACCCAAAAGGATATCCAATCTCTCTGTCTTTCTCTCGAACGGGAACAGGAGAGCGCGAGCCACAACAGAACAGCACCGGTGTCAAGAAGGCTCCATGCTGAGGGCCTGATCCCTTCCAATATCACAGTAGTCGCATTGATGGAAGTGGGCGCCAGGAGGAAAGCGCGATCTGACGCGACCGGACGGGCTAAAGTGGCTACACTGAGACAATCAGACCCGGCAAGGCGTTTGCGGATCCACGTGACTATTTATCCAAGATTAGGTAATCGCCGACGGCTTCCGGCACACCGGCACCTGGATGTGTACTCCGTCTTACCCGTCCAAGGCTTATCCCGAACGAACACTCTTCACCTACATTGTGAATTCTCTAGCCTTACAAATGCGGCCAGCGGACTCTAAGGGATAGTGGCTTGTGGTTTCTTTGATTGGGCTACCTAGGTTTCGTTTACTCGTATTGAATACGCACTGCCTGGACAAAACTGCATAGTGGCCCACCATCCATCCCTCTTCGTTCCAAGTCTTTCACACTGCACTCAGTACCTCTTAAACGTCCAAGGGTCCCATCTATTTCACTCAGAACAATTATCCTCCAATACACACTCACGGCCTCTTGCCAGCTGGCTGCTTGCCATTGCCCTCATACGCAGTGTACATACTGGCCGTATCGCTCTGGTCGTCTTTGCGAGTTTTCTGGTCTTCCAGATAACCCACTGCTCCGCCATCGCCGCCTCCGACGATGATCTGTCCACCGCCCTTTACCTTACCGACGACCATACCCTTTGCTACGCTCTTCAGGATTGCTCTGCGGGATACACCAGTCACATCGATGTACACCAACCCAACGTTCTTGAAGCCGCCGCCAATGTTCCTGGATACTTGGCCAGCTTCAGCACCCCAACGGTGCTCCACCATCTGTGACACGCTGGAAGAGGTGCCAGTCAACAGATTACGTCCTGCTTGATCGATGCCGTCCGCAACAGTGTTGAACGCCATCAAGCTCCTGTTCAGCAGGCCAGGCTTGTAACCCTCAATTGGGTTGCCATCCTTATCGTATCCTCTTCCACTGCCATCCTTCTTTCTAGCCAGGGTGGCGCCCAGGTTTTGGGCAACTTTGCCCACCGCTCCAACCGTGGTCGCCGACAGACCAGCCGCCTTGGTGGAAAACTGGTTGATGCGTCGTACACGGTCGTGCGCGGCAGGAGTGAACGTCACGGGTTCGGTCGTCGCCTTTGTCTTCTTTGTAAAGTTGTCGGCCGAGGACTGCAAACCCTTTGTGATCAAGTCCGACGATGTCACAATGAGTCGAGATGCTTTTGAAGCATTCGACACCAAGAACGACTTCTTGTACGATGGGTGCATAATCATCTCGCGGTACTCCTGCGACACGGGCTGAACGGTAATGGCTTGGCTGTTGTCGGCAGGGAGTGTAATCTCCACCGGATCTAGCATGCCATGTGAGTCAAGCTCGGCCGAGGTGCCGCCAAACTTACCTTTTGTTCCAGGCTTGACGCCCAGCTCCTCTACAACTTGGTAGTTCTCAGTCAGCTCCCCAATGACGCTTCCGTCTTCTTCGTCAATCAGGACAATCCGGCCGCCATTGTGCTGGGAGCTGTGGGCTCCCGGGGCATAGCCCTGTCCGGGCTGGTAGTCGGCCGGGTTGTAGGCGGGGAGGCCATCGGCGGCGGCAGCTCTGGACTTGGCAGAGGGACGATCGGTGACGGGGTCATCATAGGGGTATGCGGAGGCTGCGGCGGCGGCTTTGGCCGATTTGGATGAGGTCTTTGGCGGCGGGGCTCGCTCGAGGAATGCAGTGCATTGCGCAAGGATCGTTTCGAAGGTGTCGACGTCCTCCTGCAGTCCTTTCCGGCTACCAGTGTCTGGGAACTCGATACGTGTGAAAGCGCCACTGTCTGGGCCCAGATCCCATCTTGGAATCAGGTAGCTAGTTGGCGGCTGGTGGTAGATCTGTGTTGTCGCAGGAAGAGGAAGATCGAGCTCGGGAGGTAGATGGAGGTGCAGGTAGAAGTCCTCGGCGGGGGAGTCTGCGTCGGTGAAGGGCGAAGAAGTCGGTACCATCAACAGCGACAAGGTCTGGGGCCCGGCGGGTGTGAGCGACTCCTCCTTGCCATTGGAGATGTGGAAGGCTTGGACGCCATTGATGGCGTACAGAAGCTTGGGGTCCTGGTCTCAAGGTCAGTGAGGGCGGTCGCCATATTGTTTCCGTCTTGGAGGGCATACGTTGTGTCCCGAAGCCATGATGAAGATGGGTGCGCAAAACAGGCGCAGAAAGTTGAGGTCTTGGTTACGTCAGGTCGGGCCTCGTACAAGATGGTTGCTCTTGGGTGGTGGTGTCTCGAGATGCGACTGGCGCGTAAATGTCGTGGAGAACTTTGGTGAGAGACCGTGGGGTCCAGAAAGCCAAAGGGGCTCGGTTTGCAAGTGGGAGAGAGCGTCTGCTCGGTAAGTTGTTGAAGCGAGTTGCGGTCCGGAGGATAAAAGGTCTGGTTGGTACACTAGGTGGACGCCAGCGATCAGACAAAGTGACGACTGTGTAGGGGAACTGCAATAGCTATTCGCCAGCAGGAAACTTCTGAGCAGGAATCGCAAGGAACGGTAAAGGTGAGTGGCACTTCGGATGGTGCTCTGAGACTTTGTGACGACGAGCCGGGTTCTGTCTATTCAAGGACCGGGGGTGTAGTGAGGGCGAATATGGTTGGATTGTGGGTGCGTCGAAACAGCTTGCATGGCGCTTAAAGCAGCTGTTGGTGGTGGTGCGCCGTGCTTTAGCTTGGTGATGGCGCTGGTGCGTGCCCGAGAGGCCTCTGGGCGGCGAGCGACGTCATTGGCCACTGTTGACTTTCAAGGTGTTCCCAGTCCTTGCACCCAACGACATCTTGTTTGATGGGAGACTCGACGACAAGTGACGGACCCCTTTTTCGCCCCCCATCCACTCTCTCTTCAGTGGATTCGTCACTTGAAGTTTGATTGTTCAGTAAGAGGGGTTGAAGTGTCGATTGCTTGCACAGCCACCTTGGATGCTGCAAAAGAGGCGGGCATGGCGGGGTTCCAGGTGCTTGGAGGAGGAGGTGCAAGACTTGGCAGAGGGAACCAGCGACTTGGGAAGCTCTGACCACCTTTTGATGCTCCTTCCAGCGGCTGTCACACGCACTGACACACCCCCATGTGCTTTCTGGCGCGCCCCACCCGCTCATGGTTGATTGTACTGCAATGACGAATAGTCAAAGAGAAGCAACCCATGGTGAAGGAGACAGTGGCGGCATCAACACCTTCGACACAGGTCCAGCAGTATGCGTCACCTGATTGGCCAAGACTTCCGGAGCCTCAAATTCTTGTCAGCTGTGTTGAACAGAGAGACTCAAGAACTTGACCTACCCGTAGAGCATGTGACCCGAACCACCAGCCCCAGCTACGAAGAACAGCTTCACCCAACATGAACTGAGCCATACTGGAAAACAGACACAATCTGAGAGGGACAGAACCTGCAGAAGACGTTAGCTGCGTATTCAGGTAATCAAGAGCAAAGGCAAGGAAGCCATACCACTGTCTTAGTTCGCCAGCTTGCAGATAGCCATCCTCAGACTTGGACTTCAAGAGCACGGATGAAGAGACGGCTTCTCGTCCCGAAGTCCAGTCTGGCCAGGGGCATTCGACGATAATCCTGATGTTGGCAGGCTCTCTGGAGACAGTCCGGGAGGGACCGACACCACGACAGCCAGTAAGGATAGTCATCCTACAGCGTCCCATAGATGACAAATCTTCGTGTTCAGACTCTTGACAAGGAAGTCGTTGAGATGAAGTGATCAGTCGGTCATCTGGTGGAAGACAGGCTCGTGGGTCGAAGTCATGACGGATAGCTTTGGCAATGACCTTGGACAAGCCGAATAGAGTACAATGACTTCGTCACGGCACATGGGCCGATGACATGAGAAAAGCCAGTGTAGACGTCTTGGTAGAAGACATGTCGTGAGATGTTATGACAGGAAGCGTCATGATAGGAGACGGCAATGACGACAGATGTTGTGAGAGAAAACGTCGTGATGGAAGACCCATGATGGAAGATGCTGTTGTGCGAGATGCCGTGATGAGTGTGTTTCGATAAGAGACAGCCATGACGAAGAATGCTTCTTTGAGAGACGGGGTGATAGGGGATCCAGGATGAGAGATGATAATGTACAAGATGCCGGGAAAATGCAGTGATGGGACAATTCGTGATAGGGGGATAACCATGGCAGGCGATGTCTTGACCAAAAACGTCGTCCTAGAAGATGCCGTGATGGAAGGACATACGGTAAGAGATCCATGATGAAAGAGGCTGTCATACAAGATGCCAATGTGGAGGATGTCGTGAAGCAAGATGTTGTGAAGCAAGATGTCGTGAAGCAAGATGCCGTAAGAAAACATGTCGTCAAGAAAGCTCCCGAGAGAGCACATAATTTGTAAGGTCCCCCGCTGGAGCCCAAGGACCGGGGCGTCGGAGATTGTCGGATGAAGGTACCGTCGGGTAAGACACCTTCTGTGAACCACGAAGGGTTCATCAGGGCAACGTCCACCTGCACCGCCCTGAGCGGCACAAGGCTTCGGAAAGCCCGTCATTTCTCGTAGAATTGTCAAGATAACCCCCTTGAAGACCTCCTTCAGGGCGTCCTTAATGCCCTTCTTGAAGGCCTCCAGAAGCGCGACCATGGCCAGACTTGCCCATTCGTTGACTTGGGGGCGGAGTCTTGTCCAGCCACGTCGGAGGGATTTTCGAAGTATGACGAGAAAACAGAAGGCGACCGCGACCGGTACCGCGAGGATGACGTAAAGGGGGTCCATGTTGTAAGTATAGGTGTAAGTGTGTATCGCTATGCGGCTCGCTTGTTGTATTCGGTAGTGAATGATAGACGACCTCCCTGGAGAAGAAAAGAAGAAAAAGAGAAGAGAAGAGAGGGGGGGAGAGGATGGGTAGATATACAGGTCAAGGACTTCGTGGAACAGAATCAGACCTTCCAACTTTGAGACCCAGGGATGCCATTTCCTGCTTCCAATATTTGGAAGTAATGCAATCTGGCTGGCACTGCTGCTGAGTCCTGCTGTTTCAATGCGGAAATTGCACATATGTAGCCGTTGGAGGCAGTGACTGACCATGTCATCTCTTCCGCAACTTCTTCTCAACATGCCTGATGGAGCAAACATTCGGCAAGGACTCATCGAAAGGTATGTATTCTTGCTCAATATCTGCACATTCCTGCCGGATGCATATAACTAAAGCATGGTAGTTGCCTAAACCTCTGGCTATGATCATCTGGAGACGACTGCTACTTCCACGGTCCGCAGACGTCTGCGACAACTGCGATTTTCATCATGTTGACTCCTCTTTCCCAGCTCCTCGTATTCGACACGGTTCAGCTGGCATTCGTGCCGAGCCTCGTCATTGTGAACGAAACGTATACAGTACCTTCCCTCTCGTCGACCCCAGCAACAGCATCCTTATCTTCATCTGGGCAGTGACGTCTCGGCAATGGCTATCATATCGATGAATATCGCTGATAGGTCATGCACGCGATCCCAATTTATGGAAGCAGGCATTTATCACACAAACTAGAAGAAGCTTCTCATTCATCACGACGTTGTTTGATCTTCTTATTACTTTGATCCGCATGAAATCTTCGTAACTCTTTGGTCTTCCCCAGGAGTTGTGAGTGCAGAACAGCCGCAAGTCACAAGCGAATGGAGTACTTCGTTTTCTTCTTCAGCCCCTTTCCCTGTAGTGTTGATGATATCGCCCCTTTATCAGTCCCTTTCATCCCTCGCATAATCTCCCTCCATCAGCGGGCTCTCGTTGCCCTTATTGTTTTACCATTCGTCCTCTTCTTCCTTTTCCAATCGCGAGCGAGCTAACACGGCGAACGCCTGTATGATACATTCCAGCAGGATCAGCCAAACTATTGACTGCACTGGATTATCGTAGTAAGACTGCCCACTGAAGATCATGGGAACAAGCGACAAAGCCCATATGATGCAATGCTCCAAGGCGGTTTCCGAGTCGTCAATGCCGCGTTCTCTTAGAGCGGATCTCGTAGCGGCCAGAGCGCGGAAATCATGTATGGCATAGTGTAGGAAGAATCCAAAGATTTTCCACCCATCATACAGCCCAAGGATACCTCCACAACATCCCTTGCCGTATCTGCGCAGGACCAGCCTATAGTGAGGTTCTTGACCAGGCGTTGTGCCGTTCAGAAGATCCAAGCCGTGAATAGTTCCGTTATTGCCAGCCTGCTGCGTGCCGAAATATTCAATACTGCCGACATCGTAGACCTTGGTGTATTTGGACCAGATGAATCCGTAGGGGTCGTGGCCGAGTGTGCGCCACGGCTGCTCCTCGGCGTCGAATCGAAGCACGAGGAGAACAAGGAAATAGTCCATGATGCCGAGGAGAACCATCCCGTATAGCTCGCAAATAATACGCATGCATTGGCTGAGGAAGTAGTAGTCTGACAGTTTGCCGTCGTATGCATCGATGGCACTCTCTATTGCGTCGAAAACGTTGTATATGTACATGTTGTATGCGAGTTGACTGCAATTTGCGAGTAAAAGAGTGAGGAGGCGATATGTTCGAGGATTGGTATGTCTTTGGAAGATCAGGTGATCGAAAGATGGGGCGACGAGGATAAGATGAACGAGTAGAAGCAGGGTGATGAGACGGTGGGTTGGATCTTTTATAGCCGACAAAGCCGGAGAAAGACTACAACTGCTCAATAAGGTAGACTTACAAGAACAAATGGACTTGACACATTCTGGCTGCTTGACGCCTGATTATGGGTCTCAAGAACATTATCTCCGAAAAGAGTTGGGCACCCGTTTGGCCGGATTTCGTCGTTGTCATCGAACCTTGGTAACTACAGTTTCTTGTCATCAACGGTCGCATAATCACCCCTGAAGGGCCCATCCATTGAGAAAACCATCTCGGTGAGGATGTTCAAACCATCGGTCACCAAGTATCTGAGCAATCTCTCCTATTCCACGAGATATGGCACGGCATAGAAATGTGCGTCCCGGTGCCTAGGCGTGTGGACTGAAGACGGCAATTCTTACGAATCGAAACGCGACTGCTAGACGAACATCTTATTTGCAGCAGTTCAATTTGGTGTAGAGAATAAGACGGCTTTACTTCTGTTGGACAGTCTACTTGGCTATACACGGGGTGTCTCGCCAGCATCGAGCGAGGATCCATCCGAGACGTTGTTCGTGGTTAATAGGAGCACGAACGGCAATCATCCTAATTGTGATGTTTGCCGTTAATGTTCATACTGGTCACGAATAGCTCCTTGATCGCGATGTGTGGGGTTTCACGGCACCAGAGAAGTAGATCGTTTTTAATTCTTAGTGAAGCCACCCACCAGGACAACAGAGCCATGAGGTCGAAGTCGCAAAGAAAAGCAGAAGGCCTGATGGTTAAAGGCTTTGCTGGAGTTCCTGGAGCTTCAAACGATGAGTCACTAGCGCAAGATCATTGGTCGCTCGGTGTCCTCTTGGTGAAGGTGCCGGTCCGAGATCCTGGTCCCCCGTGAAATCTGGGCCGGTTCTAGCGGGAGACATGGGCCACCAGTTCATCCCGGACAGACCATGGATAATGCTATTGGATTTCAATGTCGTTGATATCCATGCAGTTGAACAAATGTGTGCTACACGTATGCGATTTCTTGAAGATACAGCATGGTACACGGGAGTTTTGGCACTTTGAACGAGAGTGAAGAGGCAGCATGGACACGGACGTAGCCAACGTGCCCTCGTTCTCTTGCACGGTTCCCAGAATTTCAACGGGGATGCTTTGCCAGACTCATGGAGATCAATTGAAGACAAAACACACAATTAACAGAGCTTCGAGGGGCGGACCATACCTGGTTCATGGAGCGACGTCAGAACTCACCCAACAAGCTCGGTGACACTGACACCCGCTTCTACTCCCACATCCCGAAGACCAAGGTGCAACCTCCCCAGCAAATCAGGACCCGTCACTTCCCAAGCATTACCCGCCTTCTGTCAGTGCTCAAAACAATCCGCAGCAGCATTGGGCCAAACAGAGTCCTGCATTTGCTCTCTCTTTCCCACGAAGCTGAAGAGGGAATGTCGTTTACGCGGCAAGTGGTGGTGATGGAAAGTGGAAACGACCAACCGACCCGTCCGGGTACTCGAAACCCTCGGGAGCCCCCAGCTCTTTCCCAGTACCAAGAGCTTTAGTCTCAATTTTTGTACCTTAAGGGTCCAAGCAGGAAGGAGGTCGAGAAAATCGAATAAATGCTTCGAGACCCCCCTTCCTTCTGCATATTCTGTTTCCAAATGTCTTTGGCAACTTTGATCCGTGTTCTTGGACCAAACTTCCAACCCATATCGGTTATTGGGCAAGTCGTATGAATGAGTTATCCTGCCAATTCCAACATCGGACGCAAGACTTGCACAACAAGTCCCGAAAATGGCCTAGCGGCCTTTTTATGCTTCTCAGCTTGCACACAGCTCGCATTACCCCCTCCATTGAGCAGCACCCTCACAATCAGCGGCACGCGACCCTCTCAGCAGCTCCTCCAGGCTCCAGCGACCTGGAAAGGCACAGCTCGCACCGGTCATCGGCCGAGAATGGTCGGAATTACAGCGTCTCCCTCGGCCGGCAATGCAGCGGCAGCGGCAGCGGCAGCGGACGTGCTCGCCAAGGTTTGGAAGAGGGAATGAGATGACAGCTTATCCAGGGAGGAGAGGGGGGCTTTCTGCACTATGCGGAAATTGGAGTAAACGAGAGAGAGAGATCTCAACAAGTGTTAGGATCACCGCCACAGCTTTCTTCGCTCCTCTCGACAATTCCTCGTCGTGCAATCGAGAGCTTCCACTCGTTTTTCTTCCACACCCATCCCCGCCTCGACAATCGTTCAACCTCGGGAAAATCGAACATAAAACACGTCGAAGAACGGAGAGATAAGCTCAAAGTCAAATACCGAACTTGCCAAGCAACTGTAGCGACAATGGCTCGTTCCTGGAAGCCAGCCTTCTGGGCTCTCTTCCTCATGGTGCAGCTCGGCCTCGCCTCCACCGTCGCCGAGAAAATTGGTCTCACGAGCAAGCCCGTGGCATCACTCAGTCTCGAGGAGATTGACGAGCAGCTGCAGGTAAGTGCGAGGAGAAGAAGAATATGAAGCAAACCCGATCGGACGCACGGGAGAGCTCAGAGCACCGGAAATCATCAGCCTAGAGCTTCGCAACTGACGATACCATCCCAGCAATGCTCGATAGTCCAATCCCTAACCTCCTCCAAACTCGCCTCCCTCTCCGAAACCCCCTCCCTCCTCTCTCGCGCCTTTGGAACCCTCTTCCCCGGCTCCCCCGCCGTGAACGCCCTCCTGGCGACCCTCTACATCTCCGGGCCCCCCAACTTCCTCCTCGCCCTCTGCCCGACCGACATTGACCCCTCCTCTCTCTCCGTCATGGTCGCCTTCGCCGTCGGAGGGCTCATGGGCGACACCTTGTTCCACCTGCTCCCCGAGATCTTCCTCGGCGAGGACGAGCCCGAGCGCGCGCGCCTCGTGCTCGTCGAACCGAACCGCAATCTGCTGCTCGGCGTCGCGATCCTCGTCGGTTTCATGACGTTCGTGGCCATGGATAAGGGACTGCGCATCGCTACGGGCGGGGAGGGGCATTCGCACGATCACGGTGGACACTCGCATGTGCAGGAGCACGGGGAGGCCAAGGCCGAGGCTGTGTCGTCTGCTGTGGAGAAGGCGGGCAAGGTCACCTCGCGCAAGAAGGCCGGGACCGACTCCGGATCTGGAGCCGACGGCGCCGTGGACAAGCCGGAGAAGGAGATGAACCCCAGCGTGAGACTCGGAGGCTACCTGAACCTGATGTACGACTTCCTCCCACCCAGTCTCCCACTCGGCCTCCGGGCGCGATTCCACTCATGACTGTACTGACTTACATCCCGCAGCGCCGACTTCACGCACAACATCACAGACGGCCTCGCCATGTCCGCCAGCTTCTACGCCTCCCCGACCATCGGCGCAACCACCACCGTAGCCGTCTTCTTCCACGAGATCCCCCACGAGGTCGGCGACTTTGCCCTGCTCGTGCAATCCGGCTTCAGCAAGCGCGCCGCCATGGGCGCCCAATTCGTCACGGCCCTCGGCGCCCTTCTCGGCACCCTCATCGGCATCGCCGTCCAGGAGCTCGGCGGCAGCAGCTCCGGCTCCGGCGAGGGCGGTATGCCGCGTAACGCGGGGCTCTGGGGTACCAGCTTGGTGAGTAAAAAACCTGCACTCCTTTTCTCTCGTGCCGCCGACGCAAGTTTGGCGTGACGAATCACAAGTTGCTGACGATGGACCTGATAGACTTGGGGTGATTTGCTTCTGCCCTTCACCGCGGGCACCTTCCTCTACGTCGGTACCGTCGCCGTTATCCCCGAGCTGCTCGAGACGGGCCCGAACAAGATGGCCGAGCTGCGCAAGACCCTCGTTCAGTTCGCCGCCATTGCTGTCGGCGCCGGTATCATGCTGTACATTTCGTGGCATGACTAGACAATGCACCCTTTCAATGGTGCTTGACCTCTGCCCCGTGCACACGTAAACATGTCCATGTTAGATGCACCCTTACTGAAAAAGGCGAACACGCCATGTAGAATATATAGAGACAATAGACAGAGCAAGACGCTCTGCCACTACCAGATGAGGAGGATTTCTCCAGCCAAAAGTGATGTGAAACCACCCGTCACCATGATCTGGTTACGCTGACCTCTGGATACAATGCAACCTGCAATACGGATGTGAGGTAGAGAGTAAGCTGGACGAAAGGAGTGATGACCTACCCCAACCCAAAACGGCGCCTTCACAGCAACAGACCGTCCCAAACACCATTTCCAACAACTCGGTCGACGGATCGTCTAGTCCCTGGCCGTCTGACCGGCTTTGGTAGCAGTGCGGGCGCAAGAGAAAGCATGTGGCGTCGTCGACGGGAGTCAAAAGTTGGGGTAAAGAGAAGTAGACAATGTAGAGGAACATGTCGTCCTTCGACTACATAATGAAGCAGAGGGGAAGCTGAATAATACACACACATATACACGAAGCTCCCCACGAAGGAATGAGCTTGTTATAGCCGGGGTAAAGACTACCAGTGTTTCAAAGAGACTTGCGTATTCCGAGTAAGCTTGTGATTTTGCACGTATCGCATTTTGGTGTTGGCTGAGCTTAGGCCTGACTGCTTTGCCATCTCCCAATTTCAGGTGGAAAGGGAGGAGTCAGTGGAGGCGTGCATGATGCAATTCCTGGGTGGTCTGTAAGTTTGCGGCTGTGAGCACGCAATGAGCTTGGTGAGCAAATGTCAAGAGGGTTGACGCAATACAGTCCTGGAGATGGTGTTCTGGTTCACCTCAGCCTCGAGGAACATGATTTCCGGTGTAGCGAAGACGGGGAATTATTCATCATGGAGCTTGGTCAGCTCTTGTGGTTTGGGGGCGGTTGCCAATGAACCGGGAGATGCCCAAGTGATATGCGTTGTTGTCTATGGCCTGTCCACCAGCCTACTAGTGCAATAGCGACATTGACATGAGGCGCTCTGCAGGGCGCGGTGCACATCAGCGGTATGTAGGGCGCACTGGGCGCGTGAGTCAATAAGAGTCTTTGGGCTTGGCCGCCAAAGTTTCTACACCTACTGGTGGGTGCATGGCCATGTGTGCATGACGCCTTTTCGTAGTCTGGGAATGACCCGGAATCGGAGTGATTCGATAAATTAATAATGACCCCCCCTAGTTGAGGTAAGAGTCCTGTGCATAATAGTAGGTACTTAGTTATTAGTGGATCCCCGGGCAAATTTTTAGCTAATTACGGGCTAAAAATATTTTACTATATAATCGCTTTACCGCTAGTTTAAATATTATAAGTTTTATATAATAAGGGAATATACTACTTTATGCTTTACTAAATTATTTTAAAAATATTTTTTAATTATATCTCTTTTTAATTATACTAAAATTCGCTTATTATAACCGACTTTATAAAATTATTCTTATAAAACTTATTTATTATATATAATAATAATATTATTTTAATACTTTTATTTTAGTAAAGCGAATTTAATTTATTATAAAATATTTAAGAAAATTTAGATTATAATAGCGTATTTATTTTATATCTTAATTTTTATAAATATCGAGCTCTTATTTATAAAGAGTTAATTAAATGAGTAAGTATTATATAAATTAAACCTCTATACTAAATATTAATATAATACTTAGGTTATAGATAATAATTCCGATAATTATATTATTATTTCTAATAGCTTAAATATCCGTATTAAAACTTAAAATAATTAAGGTATTATTATAATATAATAGCTTTAATATATAGCCGGTATACCTAAGTTTTTTCTAATTACTAATAATAGAGTTGCGCTTATTATCTTAACTAAAGCCTTATTTATAAACAAAATCGAGCGGCTATAGGATATAGTATATTTAACTTTCTATTTCTTAATATTAAGAATTATTAAAGAATAGTAGATTTAATATAATACCTAACGAAGTATTATTGGTTTTTTAATAACTAGTATTATTTTAGGAGATATACTTATAACGCAATACTATTATACTTACTAAAGTAGTAAAGCCTATCTATATACACCCTATAATAACTTTTATTATATAATTATTTTAAAAGACCTCGTTAAGAAGTATAATATACTACGAAATAGAGTTAAGACATTTAATATTATAAAAAAGATTATTAAGTAAGTCCGGTTATCTAAAAAACATTTTAGAAACGTTTTAGAAACGTTTTAAGAATATTTCTAATCGTTTTTTTTTTAAATAAAGTACTATTTATACTGTATACGCTAGATTTGAGAAAGGCGTTATATATTAAAAACAAAATATAATATGCTTTTTTAAACTAAAAAAGATATAATATAGTATATATATAAGATTACTTAATAAGATAATATAAATAACTTATAAAAGACTTAATAAGAGCTTATTAGTTTTTAATAATAGATCTTAGTATACCGAAATTCGCATCCTTTATAAAGACTTATAAATTACTACTTTTATTTAATTTTATTAGATTAGAAATATTATATATAATATATTAAAGTAGCTATAAATAAAACGGATACGTAATTTATAAAAAAAAGGGGTTAAGAATACTATATATTTATATCGAATTATCGAAAACGTCCTATTTATAGTAAGCTTATTAAATATTTTATTA